CCCCGCCCTGCTCGCTAGGCGCTGCACCGTCCAAGGCCAGCCCGCGCTTCCCAACTGAGCGCCCAGCACGATCCACCACGTCCAAAATTGCCGGGCTCCACCCCGGAGTTCCCAATTCAGTGGGTCCACGGTGCGTTTCTGGCAAGTGCCCGGGGATGCTGACGTTGCGGCTCTCTGGACCACATTTTATAAACCACCGACCTAGATAGGTAACTGGCTGGTCTCCAGGTTTGGCGGGCTGTATCTCCGCAGTAAATGGTCAGTGCGATTTTTAGTTCCGTTATGATTTGCTATATTAGGGTGTTTTTAACATGTAATGCACAGTAAGTGTAGGGAAAAAATAAATTCGACTGCACATGAAAGAGGAAATAAGAATAGTATCGTCCACAGAAAGTGGAATGGAGGCTTGAACCATCCTATTTTGAGATAATTTTTGCCTTTATTCATGCCACAAATAGGCAAAGAGCAGCCACCAGCTGTGGGCCCGGCCGTAGGCACCAGGATAGGGCCAGCAGAGAACAGGACACACTCCATGCCGGTTAGGAGCTCACAGACACCCTAATGGAGAGCTGCACGGTGTGACATTTGCTACAGCCAGGGGCTCTTCTCCCAGCTTGGTGGAGTGAAGGAGATGTTCAGAGAAGGCTTCCCGGAGAGCCTGGCTCCAAGTTCATGGCTCAAAAAGTAGAGTCCAAGCAATAAGAAGCAGACAACAGCTCATGTGTTCCCTCACTGAATTTTATCCTCCCTTTGACCCTACGAAATCAGTATCATTATCCCCACCTACAGATAAGACAATGAAGCACAGAGAGATTAAATGACTGTCCCAGGGTCACATCGCTGGTCAGCTTTGAAGATGCTGGACAAATCACAGAGTCTCCTGAGCCTGTTTCCTTTGTGTAGAAAGAGAGGGATACCTGCTTCATGGGGTTGTCATGAGGGTGAAATCAGGTGCATATAATGCCTTGAGCGGGGCCTGACACAGCCCTGGGTTTAATCAGTGGTAACAGTAACAACAGCAGCTGTTGCTGTCTTCATGAGGGCAGAGGAGGAGCCGGGTGGCAGTGGTGGTTATTTGTTCAAGGTGTTTTTTGGGGAGGGGGAAGGTTTGTTTTGTTTTGTGTTTTTGAGGAACCATCAGACATAGTCATCATTTCAGCCCGAGATGAAGTGCCCATTATCTGTCCATTCATTCTCAGGTAGGGCAAGGGAAGGGGCATCTCTTCATCTTAAAAAATAACCTGTTATTGTCTGAACCAACAGCAGGCTTGGGGAAGAAAACTCAACCATGTTGAGCATTAGTAGTCAGGGATCTTCTTGCAAGGGGCAAAGCCCCACTCACAGTGCCCTAAGCAAAAAGGAAATGTCTGGGAGTATATTGGGTGAGTTCAAGAACAGCTGGATCTAGATACTGGAAGGATGTCAGCAGGATCCCACCTCTCTTTCCAACTCAAAGCTCTGCTTGCCTCTGTGTTGGCATCACTCTCAGGCAGGCCTTTGCCACAGGCTGGCTCTTCCAGCTCCAGGCTTCCCTCCCAGTGAATGGAATGAGTTCCTTCTTTCCTAGTAGTTCCAGTAAAAGTTGCAGACTTGGGTCTCAGGGGTCTTACGTGGGTTAAGTGCCCTTTCCTGAACCACTACTACTGAGACCAGGGAGTGGCAGTTCCCATAAGCTCCTGGCCCTTATCCTATGAGGGAGGGCACATTAGTATCCCAAAAGGACATCCCAGGGCTGTTTCTGAAAGAAATGAGAATGGAGGCTGGGTAGACAAAGAACAGAGGCACCACACTTGGACATGCTCTTCAGTCCTCAGCAGAGCCCTGGGAGATAGCTCTGGTCCTCTGGTTAGACAGACGCGAAAGCTAAGGTGCAAAGCAGTGAAGAACTGTGGACTAGCAGGGCAGGTCCAACCTCCCACTGCCCCTGATGGAATCTCTTTGGGCCTCAGGTACCCTGCAGTCCAGCCCTGCGACCACGACTCCATCAGGGTCCCTCAGCGGCTCCCAGGACGATAGTGATTCAGATATGACCTTCAGTGTCAACCAGTCCTCCTCAGCATCTGAGTCATCCCTGGGTAAGGAAATGCAAACCCGGGCAGGGGCAGGGGCAGGGGCTGGCAGCTGGCCTGGCTCTTCTGGCTGTGCCAACGGCCTTCCAGGGGCTGAGCAGGGTGGCCGCCTTTCCCCCGCATCCTCTCCTTCCCTCAGCTGTATGCTCAGCGGAGGGAGAAGTAGTGTCTAAATAGGACATTCCAAAGGGTGACAGTGGTGGCATTTTATCTTGGTGTTTGGGAGTAGAAGGGTAGAGAAAGGTCCCAGAAGGTAAACTAAAATTAGTATCTCCCAAAAGTGTCCTCCCACTGGTCCCGCCGAGCAGCACTGCATTCTTGGAGTTGCCCCAACAGAGCCCACCCGAGAGCGACATTATTAACGTATGTCCTCTTCTCCCTTTCGGCAGTGACGGCCCCCAGCTCCCCGCTGAGCCCCCCGGTGTCTCCCGTGTTCCCACCGGAGCCGGCAGGCATCAAGAATGGCGAGTGCACGGTGTGCTTCGATGGCGAGGTGGACACGGTCATCTACACGTGTGGACACATGTGCCTGTGCCACAGCTGCGGCCTGCGGCTCAAGCGGCAGGCCCGGGCCTGCTGCCCCATCTGCCGGCGGCCCATCAAGGACGTCATTAAGATCTACAGGCCATAGCCTAACCTGCCCACGGGCCTTGGCCAGAGCAAGGTCACCTTTCTGAAGCCCCCCTGGGCTGGGCAACCACGAGGCTGCCAGGGAGTCCACGGGCAGCGGCCGTCTCTCCAGTGGTGGGCAAGGCGTGACAGTCGTGTCGCGAGGCCCCCGGGGCCTCAGCCCAGGCAGGGGTTGCTTCCGGCTCCAAAGTGCTTTGCCCCCAAAAGGCCGTCCGAGAGCAAGCTCAGGAACTGCCTGGCAGATCACCCTGTCCCTTGGTGACCTTTCAACTGGGAAACAGCGTCCTCTGTCTGTGCAATGCTTCTTGCTGGGGTTGGGTTGAGTGTGAGAGAGGGGGAGGGGAGGGAGGGGAGGGAGAACAGAGAGAATGTGTGTGTGAGAGAGAGAATGAACGTGTAGCGATTTTACCAGGGGTCCCGGCTCTGGGAGGGAGCGTGCAATCCGGAGCCCCGATGTTGGCATGACTAGAAGTTGTTTGCTTTCTGGGGATGGGACGTAGCTGGTTTTGAATGTACGAAGCCTGACCCTAACAGAACTCCCTGGGGTGGTGTAGAAAAGAGATGCTCAGATTCTCTAAGGGGAGGCAAAAATAACTCATTGTTTACAGCTCCAAAGCGTCAACTCCTTGAGGGGAAGGTGGGCAGAGAACAGAACAATTCACTTCTTCATTTCTTACTGGGTCTTAGAGCTAGGTGTGATGGGCACCGAGGCCAAGCCCTCTGGGTTGTGTCATCTTTTCACCCCTTCACCCCCAGACCGTCTAATAATAGACACATCATACCTTGTCTCTGTCTCTAGAGGCAAGTCTCTGTAATGCTCCTCCCCGTCTCCAAGGAGAAGACCAGCCGAGGGTCTGTTTCTGTGGGAGAGAGAGAATCCTAGAGGCAGGTGATGCAGCTAGAGCTGGAAAGGCCACTCCACCACGCAGACAGCTCTCTACCTTCCTGCGGTGGCCCCTGGGCTTGGCGTTCCCAGGGGACCTGCTGGCAGGAGGAGGAACGAGGGCTTTATAACTTTGGTTACAACTTTTGGTCCTTGTTCTGATTCTCAGTGTATCTTCCTCCGCTGGTTACGAAAGTGTTCACTGATCAGTATGTTAACTAATGATCGAGACAGTAACTACAAATGCTGGCATTGGGATTCTCTCCCTTCCCAGACCTACCTGCTGGGATTTCCTGGGACCCTGGCCCTGACCCACCCCTCATGCCTGCCCATCTCTGCAGACTCGCAGATCATACCTGGGCTGAGGGGCTGGCCCAGGCCTGTCCCTCCCTTCTTGCCCCCAGTTCTGGCCACCTCTGCCCTCTTCTGTGATGTCCCATTAGGGAAGTCCCTTGGCCTGTCTATTTTTCAGTCCCCAGTTAGAAGTCTAGAACCTGACAACTCCAAGAGTTCTTGGGAGGACCAGCACAATGTTCTGAAAAGCCTGAGACGGCTTGCAAAAAGCAAGTACCATTTGTATTACAATTCCTAATCTGTTCATGTCCTGCTGAAGGAGGGAAGGAGGGACAGGGGAGTTAATGCATTCATATAATAAACACTTGCTGGGTGTCTGGGTGCCCAGAGCGAAGCTGGGCCCAGCCCTCACCAGATCCAGCCCCATAGACCAGCTGGTGCCCATGGATACTGGCGGGTTCAGGGCCTCCTGTTCCTCCTCTAGCTGGGAGTGGTCACGGTTGTCTGACCTGATTCTAACTTAAGGCCCCCACTCTCTTGCCCCCTCAAGAATCCCTGATTATTTACTTTTCCCTAGAAAATCTGGGGAAATTCCCACATTTTAATTTGGCAGCAGAATCTTTTGAGCAGCTTTTGGAACCGCAGTGTTTGCCAAAATAAGAGTTTGAGAATCCAGGCAGCCCTGGGTGCCTGGCTGAATTCAGTTTCCCGCATGTGCTGGGTGTGGGCGGGGCCATGCACAGGCCCTGCATGGGAGGACTCCTCACCCCAGGCCTGTGGTGCTCCAGGCAACCGTCTTCTGACTACTATGAGACCCAGTCACAAGCTGTGGGGTCTCAGTGGCCTGGGGGAAAGCAGCTCCACTCTCCTGCCCTTCCTCGCTGCCCCTTTGGGTTCCAGCCAGGGTCACGTCCAGCCTCCACTGGGAAACCAGTGACTGAGGCCTGGACCCAGGGATGGACCAGGCATTTCCTGGCGACCTGTGACCTTGGGAAGAAGGGAGTAGTGGCCCATTCAACCTGCTCTGCAGCTGCTATAAATAGCCTCCCTGTTTCCAAGAGGAGGTAAGGGGGTGTTTATCTTCTAAAAACCAGACGTTTCCTGATGCTCTGAGCGTTAGTGCTACAGAGGAGACGCACACATCCCCACTATGTTCTGTCTTGAGAAGGAGACAAGAGAAAGAGGAAAAGGAGCCACTATATTTTATTTTGCACCTACAGTGTGCCTTGGCACTGGGCTAGAGAGGCGCCTTCCTGCGTGAATCCTGTGAGGCAGGTCTTATTGCCATAATAAGTCACATCTAAGACGCTGCCGGTCATAAAACACACTGTTTTACATACCATAAGGAAAAAACGCCGCCAATCTTAACTAAGATGCTAAAACTGTACAGCTCCTTCCAATCAGAGATGTTCACGTGTGAAGAAGAAAAAATTGTGCTACTTACACTCTATGAAAGCTGGTATTATCCCACGTGGCAGGTAAGGAAACTGAGGTCCTGTGAGTGAAACGACCTCATGATCACACAACAGGAGATGGCAGGGCTGGGATTCAAACCCAGGAGTGTCTGGTGCCACATCCCACACTCCCACTGCCTGGCTCCAAGTCCCAGGAAGCTCGAGACTGAGTTTTCTCCCTTGAAACCCACTTGGAGAAAGTCCGGGCACCTGTGCCTATGTGGAGGTTCCAGCCCCAGCCAGGGCCCCTCCGCTGCCCACACCCTGGGAGGGAAAGCGGCCTCCCTTCCAGGCTCGTCTGCTCACTGCCCACCTTCTGGCAGAGCCGAGCTCTGTGAGATCTGGACTCCAACCCAAGGGCCCTCTCTCGTTATGCAGGGGTGTCCACAGTTGGGGAGGGACCTGGGGCCCTGTTCTACCACCTTCCTAGGCCCTGTGATCGCCACCCCCTCCAGCGAGGCCCCAGCCCCTTGAGCACCCCCTCACGTGACCCAGCCCTTGGCTGTTCCAGGCTCACTGCCCATCGTGTGCTCTTCTGGGCCACAGCAGCCGGGGCTCCAGGGCTGGGACAGGGGAGACCTGAAAACACCCCATTGTCAATGGTCTTGTGCGCGTTCATTCGGAGCCTCCTGAAAAACTGGGCTGTTTCCAAGGCAAATCTGGCTCCTTGTCCTAGCAGGTTCTCAGAACGGGGAGTCCCCTGGGATGGAGCTGGTCCCCTCACCGCAGCACCACGTTTTCAGTCCCTTGATGCCCACTAATCAGCATGGCCTGTGTTCAGGACACAGGGTGAACTTTTCTCTGACCCCCTGGTGCTGGTCCTGTCCTAACACATAGTAGGTACTCAGTAAAGGTTTGCTGAGTCAACCAGAAACCAGATTCTGAGTGCTCAGGGCTTTGGTAAAACAGCACCACATACACACACAAAGATACTCCGCAAACATTTGCTGAGCACCTAATATGTGTGACGTGTGTGAGGATAGAGCAGAGAGGACTGTGCCCCAGCTGTGATGCCAGCAGGGGTGACACTAAGAGGAGAGTGGGGTATTTGGGGCAGAATCCACTGGGCTCTCTTGGGCATCTGCTGCCTTGGGTCCGTGGAGGTGGGTGTCCAAAGGCTGCCTTCTTGATCAGAACCTGCTGCACGCTTCACAGAACCTTCTCTGCACTGGAAATGCTGGGCACGTTGCAGTCAGCGAGCTGCTGCCAAAACGGCGTTAAGCAGAGCCCCCGGAGGCCCTGCGGGTTGGTGATCACCCTCAGGTCCTGCTAGGGAGACGCAGTGGGGAAGTTGGCTAATTGCTGCTTTCAGGCCCTGGAAATCAGTCGCCAAGGCCCAGGAGAACCCCAGTGAGTCCGTCCAGTTGAGGCAGAGAGGCAATAACCTCCCACTGCTCGGCCCTGCCCCTGCCCCAGTCCTGGCACGGGGCACCGGCTCAGGAACATGCGGCCTCCTGGCATTTCTTGGTATTTAACTGTCTCGCTGTCTTATCCGAGTCCCTAATGAAACGACTTGTGCGACAATCTGTCTGTGCCTTACGAAAGTGTCTGTGCACTTTTTATCCTTTTTAAAAGCAACTTTTAAAAGTGGATGGGGATGGGGGGGCTGGCATACGTGGTAGGGTTCTAGAAATCTGTGATCATCGCTGAAATTCTTTTTGCATCCTGTTTTTGATGTTGGAGTGATGAAGTGTACATCCCCCACCCCACATACCACTACCTGTGTACAGACCTTTTAAAACATGTCTTCTGATTCAATACTGTGACCTCTCCAATACAGTCTAATCCTTGGGGATCTGTAATCAAAGTTTTAAAACCTGGGAAGTGGGTTGGGAAGGGTTTGCACTGGTCTTGCGTGTTGTGCTTTTCTGTGTTGTGTGTTTTGATTTTTGTCTGTTTTTATCTGTTTTATATTGACATAATTTTCCTGTTTAAAAAAAATACAACTTTGGCTTGTTAAAAAAAAAAAAAAAAACTCTTCAGAACTCAATTTTTAAAATCCCACTTACATACACTGATGGGGAATGAAGGTGAGGATCCAAATCATTGTCAGCCTTGGGGAAATAAATTGCAAAATGTCTATAGAACACCGACAATGTTTGATGCCTTTGCCAAATACACTTCTGTGAAAATCACAAGGAAATCATTCTAATCAAGGATGAAATCTACATGTAAAGATATTCACTGCAGCATCTTCTAGAGGAGTAAAAAGTTGTGAACAACCCTAATGTCCAACAACCAGGGTGTATTCACCAAGACTGTTGGTTACAAGTGACAGAAACCCAACTCAGATAGGTTTTAGGGGGATAAAGAGCTAGGGAACTGGAAAGTCCAGTAGCAGAACCCACTCTGTGTGCAAGTGGAACCAGGGTCTGAAATGCTGCATCAGGACTAGCCTCTCCCCTCTCGCTCAGCCCTGTGATCTGGCCCCATTCCCAGGTAGGTTCTCGAGATGCCTCCTGCAGGGCCACCAGCATCCTGCCTTTGAGCAGTCCCTGCAGGGACCAGCTCAGATCACGTGTCCGCTCCTGAACTAGTCACAGGACAGGGAGATACAGGGTTCTGATTGGTCAGGCCCAGGATGGGTGCTCACCTGCACCCAATAGGTGCCCTGTCTGAACTCTGTGGGCTGAAAGTGGGGAATCGCAATCTCCAGAGAAAATGAGTCCTGAAGAATGCATGCCCGAGGCGGGCAGATCATGAGGTCAAGAGTTCAAGACCATCCTGGCCAACACGATGAAACCCTGTCTACTCAAGATACAAAAACTCAGCCGGGCGTGGTGGTGCATGCCTGTAATCCCAGCTACTCGGGAGGCTGAGGCAGGAGGATCACTTGAACCTGAGAGGCGGAGGTTGCAGTAAGCCGAGATTGCGCCATTGCACTCTAGCCTGGGTGACAGGGCGAGACTCCATCTCAAAGAAAAAAAAAAAAAAAAAGAATGCATGCAGGTCGGGCGAAAACAACAGGCCTCTGTGTAGGGAATAGTTGAGTAAACCATGATACCGATACATATGGGGCGAATGGCATGGGCATGAAGCCAGACTGCCAGGGCCTCACCAAGACATTGGGGAAGACGCTTAACCTCCTTGTGCTTCAGTTTCCTCATCTTCAAAGCAAGAACAATAATAGTCCCTGATTTTAGAATGGGTGTAAGTGTTACTGAGATCATACAGTGATGTGCCAGGCACAGCATCTGGCACCCAGCACCAAGCAACGATTGTTAGTTTATAACACAGGTTTATGTTAAAATGTGATTTAAAAAATCAAGATATAAAATTGCACATACACCGTGATCTCATAGATGAAAAAAAAAAACAGACAAAACACCAACAGCCCAAAAACCTGCCCATGCATTGGAAAGAGCAGAAAGAAAGGAGTGAAATGTCCATGAGGGCTGTGTCTGAGTGATGGTCTTATTGGTGCCTTTTTCTCATACTTGCTCATTATAGAAAATTTCCCAGATTTCCCAGATTTCCATAATGAGCAAGTATGACTTTTCATTTAAACTTGTTACTTGGAAAAAATGATCTCCCTACTCTGCAAAAGCCAGAGAACAGCTGGCCCTTGCTGGAATTTGTCAGGAATTCCCAGGCTGATTGTCTGTGAGTTTAAGATCCAAATTTAGTCATGGTGGAGATAAGGACCTGTAAGTTTCTAGCAGAGGCCAGGCCAGGCCAGCCTGACCAGTTTGGTTGGGCTTCCTCTAGGCCAGGCTTTGGGGCCCAAATTTCTGGGGTGGAACATGGCAGTGGTAGCAGGAGTGGGAGCGGGGAGTAGGGGAGTGGGGTGAACAAGGAGAGGGAGCTGCCCAGGCCTGCGCCTTCTGGATGGTTAGAACAGCCTGGCTTGGTGACACTGAGTTTTAGGAAGCAATGGGATAACAGAAACCAGCATTTATCAAGCATCACAAACCACACATTCTCACAATGAATCTTCACAATAGTGTTCTCATTTTACAGACAAGGAGGCCAAAGGGAAAGCAGGATTGGCCCAGGTGGGCCTGCTCCAGAGTCAAGGCAAAATCTTTCAGATACACGTTTCGCACCCCTTTACCAAAGTCTTAGGGGCCGAGGCTGCCCAAAACCCAGGATCCTTTCTCCCCTTCCAGATTTCCTTCCCACAACGCTATGTCCTTCTACTGGACCAGGCAACATTTTCACAGATGCTATCTGATAAGACTTTTTTGAGTAAAGAAAAAAAAGATAGGGCCGAGCGCGGTGGCTCAAGCCTGTAATCCCAGGACTTTGGAGGCCAAAGCGGGTGGATCACCTGAGGTCGGGAGTTCGAGACCGGCCTGGCCCACATGGTGAAACCTCGTCTCTGCTAAAAATACAAAAAATGAGCCGGACGTGGTGGTGTGCGCCTATAATCCCAGCTACTAGGGAGGCTGAGGCAGGAAAATGGCTTGAACCCAGGAGGTGGAGGTTGTGGTAAGCTGAGATTGTGCCATAGCACTCCAGCCTGGGCAACAAGAGCAAAATTCTGTCTCAAAAAAAAAAAAAAGAAAGAAAGAAGAAGGTCATTTTTTTTTTTTTTTTTTTTTTTTTTTGAGGGGATTCGTGAAAAAAAAAAAAAAAAAAAAAAAAAAAAGGGTTTTTTTTTTTTTTTTTTTTTTTTTTTTGAGATGGAGTCTTGCTTGTCGCCCAGGCTGGAGTGCAGTGGTGCAATCTCAGCTCACTGCAAGCTCCACCTCCCGGGTTCACACCATTCTCCTGCCTCAGCCTCCCGAGTAGCTGGGACTACAGGCGCCTGCCACCACACCCAGCTAATTTTTTGTATTTTTAGTAGAGGTGGGGTTTCACCGTGTTAGCCAAGATGGTCTCGATCTCTTGAACTTATGATCCACCCACCTTGGCCTCCCAAAGTGCTGGGATTACAGGCGTGAGCCACCGCACCTGGCCAAAAAGGTCATATTAATCTAGGCCCACTGCATTGTAAGAGACTGAAATCCAACTTAAGAAAAAAATAAAAATAAAAAGGAGAGGGAGCAGAATGTACTGATTCATGCCCAGAACAGATCAGTCTAGCTTCAGGAACAGCTAGATCTGGGTATTCACATGATGTCCTCAGGCCTCTGCCTCTGTCTCTCAGTTCTGCCTTCCTCTGAGCTGATGGCACTCTCAGGCAGGCTGTCCCTTTTCAGCCACCAGAACATCCTCCAGTGACTCGTATCATGCCAGTTTAGTGACCCTTTAAAGAAGTTTCAGGAAAAGTCCCGTGTGCTGCCTCTCCTTTGACTCCTTGGCTCAAAAGCTCAGTCTCTGAACCTGTCACATGCCCACACCTGAAACCAAACTAGGTATGTTCTTACCCTCAAGAACCAACCTATCTGGAGGGGAAGGCAGACCCCTAAACAGACGTGTTCAGACCAGTGCACTTCTGAGGTGTGGGACCCATCCAATTCAGGCCATGAGGGCTCGGGATTATTTAGCGGTGTAGTTTAGGCATCCTTCTTTCTCCTGCCCTTGTGTGTTCTTACCGACACCTGGGCCATGCTCCCTGGCACATCCGATTCCTCCTCCAGTGCTGCAGCGCACACACCCTCACCAGCCCCTGCTGCCTGCAGCGCGCCTAGCCTGGCGGTAGGGCGGAGGGTTCACTACTGTGCCTGCAAATCTCTTTTCCTTATTCTCTGGGTTCCTGCAGGGCAAGCAATCCTCCAGAAAGATGATAATAATACCGGATCATTTAATGAGCACTTACTGTGTGCAAAGGATATCCATGACATCAGTACATCCTCACAAGAGTTCTCTGAATAGGCTCCATCATTACTTTCATTTTATAGGCAAGAAGCCAAGACTCAGAAGGAATCAGTAACTTTCTCCTACTTTATGTGGTCTCTCAAAGACAAAAGGTTTCTTCTCTTTCTGTTTGTAATTATGTCCTTGGACCTAGACCCCCTGGTTCCCAAGGGCAAATGGGCCTAGAACATTTGCACCTGTGATTTCCCTGAGTCCCACCAGCCACATGCTGTATTACAGTCCCATTTTACAGGGAAGGGAAGGGCTGCCCCAGATCACACTGTTTAGGAGCTGTGGGGCCATGATTTGAACCAGGCCTGGCTCTTTCCACCGCATCACAGCGTGTCTGTGGGCTCATCGTCAGGAGGAGGGGGAGGGAGAGGAGGAAGAAGAATAAGAAGAAAAAAACAGGCAGATTCAGCACCTCGAAGGGCTTTTTCTAGAAGGACATCAGCTGTGTCCTGACTCACACAATGCCTATCCGTTCAATTCCAGGGACAGGGAATCTTTGCTTTTCCTTCAGGCTCGGCTCTCCTGGCTCTCGGAAGCTCCCACATAGGGATGTGCAAAACACGAATATTCCAGGCATCGAGCTATGGGAACAGAATCCCAACCTTGGCTGTTAAATACACCTACGGAGAAGCTTCCAGAAGCCCAGTGGCAGGGTGTGTAGGGGAGGAACTGCATCAAACTGAAGTGCCTCAGGCATCCTGATCCCCTCTGCTCAGCCTCCTCCCCTCTCAGCTTGGGCTTTCCCGGGTCTAAACCCTTCTCCCCAGACAGACAGCCTGACTCTCCTGCCTCGCTGGCTGCCCAGGGAAGGCCTTGGCCATCCTTTCAGGAGCACAAGGGCCTGCTTAGGAGGGCTGGGCCGGCCTGACTGAGTTCACATCCACGCTCCACCCCAGCCAGCGGGGGGCCTGCCCTCCCCACCGGGCCTCCTGGGAGGGCCTTTCACATACCAAACTTTATGTGAACGTGCTCCCTGGAGCTGCATGATGGGGATGTCCCCTTCTGAGCCTCCACATCGTGGCCCCTACCTGGGGCCCTGTAAGACCACAGCCTCCCTCAGCCCTTAGGAGGCTGCATCCTGGCATCTCAGCTCAGAGCTGGGGTTTCCAGTGTGATGGGGTCTAGTGTGGTGGCTGAGTTCCCTCCAGCTGAGGGGACAGGCCTGCCTGTGCTGTGGGATCCTGGGCAAGTTGCACACCCTCTCTGAACCTCAGTTTCTGG